CAGCTACTTTATCATTATTACACTTTATTATGTAAGATATAACTGGTGTTTCCCTGATTTTCCCAGGATCCAAAATAAGAACCTGTACTTGATCATATCTTTTAAGTCTCTTTTAATTGATAGATTCCCTTTCTTGATTTTTTTTCCCTCTTGCATATTATTTGTTGGAAAAAACCTGGTTTATATCACAGAGTTTTCCTCATTCTAGATTTTGCCAATGTGCTCAGTTGGTGTTGTTTATTAAGTTTTGTCCCTATTATTTCCTGTTGCTAGTAATTAGTTCTAGAGACTTGATTACTTTACTTTTAGGAGAGACAGGAGGTCCTAGATGGTATATACTTTTTCCCCACTAGAAAGTACAGACCTCATACTGCCCCAGATAGTTTTCTTTTTTTCAGTCAGTCTCTATCTCCTTATCATTGCTTAAATCCATTAATTTCTAGTAGTTTGTAAAATGTTAACAATCTGGCCCTCCCTGGTGGCGCAGCGGGTTAAAGCACTGCACTGAGTAGCTAAAGCCACTTCCATATGAGTTCGATCCCCGCCTGCCCGGGAGGAGCCCACATGGCGTGGCAGACCTCTCGTGACCCGCCCGCTGCTCCCCTCAGCAGTGTACTTTGTCGATCTGCCTGTTCTGCTCCCCACTCTGTCTCTGGTGAAGCCTCTCACCACCCCTGAGCGTCTGGCCTGTACCCCAGTTCTGTATGTACAAATAAATAAATCTTAAAAAAAAAAAAAGTTAACATTCTGTCATTTCTTCACAATTAGCTGTATTATTTGCTTTTATATTTCTGTTTTACAGAGGACACAAACTTTTGAAAGCTTTTAAAAAACGATTCTAATAGTACTGATGTTAAAAATAAAATATAACTGACTTAGGTTCTTTATTACATTTATAAATACAATACAAATGAAATCAAAATCATAGTAATCATAATTCTTCCCACTAAAATACCAGATATATAAGGCACCAAAGTCCAAAATGTCAAGGAAAAGAAAAGTCCAGAAATTTAACATATAGCCTTATATACAATTGTCACTGTTTGTAGAACTATCAAAAGTTTTAATTGAATTGTATTTTGGAATAATTTAAATTTCATTTCTATTACAGAAAAACAAAGAATATGTGAGCATTGCCAGTGGAGGATTTATGGGTAAGCTTTTATTAATCCTTTTGCCACCAGTACTTAGAGTGAACAAATTAATATGTTCTTTAATCTTTTATAATATGTTTTTAGAAAAGGCAGGCTAATAGGACAAATAGGACATACAGATTACAGATAAACACACATAACAAGCTATTGAAATTTCTATTGAGTGGCAAGTCTTTGCAAAAAAAAATTGTAAAAATACAAGAAAAATTTCCCACTTGATTAATCTCTAGGAATAGACTGGGAAACTAAAGTAAGAATACTTTTCACTATATACCTTTTGTACCTTTTTTTTTTTTTAACTACTTGAAGTATTAGCTACTAAAAAAGTGGTGATTCAGTTGAATAAAACAAATAAGCTAATGTTTTCAAACATGTAGACTAATAACCTAGTAACCCAGAGTCATAAAATAGTTGATGAAATGAATGCAGGAAAATATTTGAGAATGTATGCAGTATTAAATCAGGGTAATAAGATGAAAAAAGCCGTTCTTCTCACAAGTATGCTACTGAGGGCACACACTTACATCTAGTAAATAAATAAGCCCTGGAGTACTAATTCACAATAGAGTGAATACAGACAATAGTTTTTTATTGTAATTGTCAAACTTGCAAACAGACTAGATACTAATTATTCTTGTCACAAACAAGTAATGATAATTGTTTGATGGTAAGTAGTGTTAATAATACCTGATAGGGTAACTCCTATACTACCAAAATGGAAACAATAATGTATAAACCTATATTAATTACCTCAATTAAAAAGGAAGTCTTAATTATTGCTACAATGGAGATCAACATATAAATATACCAACATGTTGCATATCCTAACATATACAATGAATGTTGCATGTCACATGTCAAATATATTTTAGTTAAAAATAAGATTGTTACATTATGAAAAGTGGTGTTTAAAAAAATACTAAACTCAACTTGGATGGAGCTGGAAAAGATCATGCTTAGTGAGATAAGCCAGAAAGAGAAAGAAAAATACCGGATGGTTTCACTCATAGCAGGAGTATAATG